CGCCCTCCCCCCCACCCCCATCCAGAGTCCTGCCGCAAACCGTCTCCTGTGCCTCCTGTCGGGGACTGCCCCTCAGACGTGCTTATCAAGGAAGGCGTTCGGTTTGTGGTGGGGAGGGGAGAACAGGACACGAAATAACACCAGGAGGTCCGGTCCTGAGCAGCAGCGGCTACTCGTGTGCGTGACGCACGCCAGGCCTTCACCCTGCTCTTCAATTAAATCCCTGCAGCGGTCCTGTGGGGGGCGTGGAAATGACGTCTCGGAGACTTCAGACAATTTTCCCCAACGTCACGCGGCGAGAAATCGGGACCTGACCTCAGAACAGCTCTCTGCAAGCCGGCCACGCCACGCCGCCTCCTCCGTTGCCACTGTTTCGGTTTCTTCCAACGACCTCCGGGGGTGGAGGCAAACACATGAGCTATGAGCTCGGGACAGCGGGGGCCTCCTGACCGCCTGGGACAAGGATGTCTCAAACCTGGGTTCTCTGACACGGCAGCCACACGACACACGGGGCACAAAGCTCAAGGCGTGGCTCGTCTGAACGGGGTCGTGCTGTGAGCGTACAACCCGTGCTGGGCCTCGAGGATCTCGTACGAGAAAACTCACGTCAAGAGTCTCGTCGGTGAGTCGCGTGTAGATCACAGGTGGAGAGGGTAGCATTTCGGATGATAAATACGTTAACTTCACCCGTTACCTTTTGCTCGTTCGTCAGGGCCGCTGGCAGTGTTAAAACGGCACGCGTGGCTCACGTCTGTGGCACAGGTTGTGCTTCCCTCGACGGTGCGGTCCTGCGTCTCCAAGGCTCCGAGCTGCTGTGACAGGCGGGCGGCACCGGTGGGCGTGTGCTCCGCAGGTGACCCGCTCTCTGCCATTCTCAGGTTGTGGCTTCCCGGGGCACCCATGGCTGGGTGGCACGGAGGGGCCCTCCGGCCAGCCAGGAAGCTGGGGGCGGGGGGGGGGAGGAAGACTTGTAGGAGCCAGCACTGAAGATCTCGCTGCTCGGTCAGGGCGGCTGTAACAAAGCAGCATGGCCCAGGCAGAGCCCCCCAAGTCCAGGATCCGGGGGCCAGCAGGCCTGCTTCCTTCCGAGGCGGAGGCGAAATGCGTTCCCTGCGGCAAGCTGACCGTCTGTGCTGTTCCTCCGCTTATAGAAGCATCACCTGACTTCTGCCGGCTGCTTCTCCCTAGGGGCGCGTCCGCACCCAAGCTCTTTTCCTAAGCACTGAGCGAACGGGTGAGGGCCCATCCTGATCCAGTAAGTATGGACTCGTCTCAGCTCATTACACTCGTAATGATCCTCTTTCCCAATAAAGTCGCGCGCTTGGGGCACCGGGAGTCCCGTGCTGCCAATCCACCTAATCCACGGTTAGGTCCAATCCACCAATCCACTAATCCAATCCACAGTTAGGTCCCGTGCCTAACCGCCACGGTGTTGGTGGCGCCATGACCTTGTCAGCCTGCCGAAGGCAGCACTCCAGCCAGTGCTGTCGTGGACACAGTCCCATGGGCCCCGGCGCGTAGGCCAAGGCCCCAAGGGGGCTTACCTGCTGGCGAGGGATGGTGGGGCCCGGCCCTGCAACTTCTGGCACCAAATTCCCAACTCTTTCCGTGCAGTTGACCAGACCAGTCCTTTCTCTTTTATTTAACGTAAGCTCTAATTAGAAATCAATTATAAATTTAATAAGCTCGTAAATAAGTTAGGAATTTTAAACTCAGTAAATTTGTAACTTCATTCTGTTACGTGCTATATTGATATAAAATTAAAATACCATCGTTTAACTTAAGTTTTTCGACCTTAACAGGGAGAGAAGACCACATGTGTGCGTGCACACACACAAGGCGGGGAGGGGCAGGGAGAGAGGGAGAGAGAGAGTCCCAAGCAGGATCCACGCTGACAGCACAGATCCCGACGCGGGGCTCGAACTCACGAACCCTGACATCGTGACCTGAGCTGAGATCGAGAGTCAGATGCTCAAGCGACCAAGCCCCCCAGGCGCCCCCGCAAATGGTCTCTTGAGATGAAGGTCGTTCTGCAACTCTCCCTTCAACAACACCCGTGTGCAGGGGCGCGGGGGTGCCTCGTCCCTCAGCCACACAGCCCTGCAGCTCATGTGCTTCGCGGTCACGACGTTCCCAAACGGAGACACTTAGCTGGCCTTCATTCTCTACAACTGCCAACCGGGCTGCGATGCCCATCCCCGCATCTGCGCCCCGGAAGAGGATTCTGGGAAGCCGTCCTCCAGGCTCACAGGCGGGTAGGGCCCGCCAGAGCAGACGGGTGGCCAGTCTCCTGGTTTAAGATGGGGTGTGCTTGGTGTGTGGGCTGGGGACAACTGGACGGCCGTCCCCCAGGGCCCTGGGCAGCGGCGGCTAGGCAGACAGGGCTCGAGGACATGCTCATCTGTGCAGATGGAGAGGCTCCTCGAGGAAAGGAAATGCAGATTCAGGGACGGGGTGCGCTCGGGGCCTGGAGGGAGAAACATCGCGAGACCGGGGCCCAGGCCGCTGGGCCAGAATGTGTCTTGGTGGGACCACCGGTGAGCTCCAGGGGGTCTATCTGCACAGTGAGTCCTTTCTCTAAGAAGTTCCGGGAGCACAGGCTTCCTCGGCCGTGACAGCGGGGGTGGAAAGGTGCGTGCACGGGCGGGACAGGCAGAGGCCACGTGTAGAGGCTCGGGAGTCCGTTGTGACACATACACAGAATAAAATACGACAGAGCCACGGCAAATCACGGTTCTGTTTATTATCACAACGCGTCATTCACAGCAAAGACTGCACAAAGGTACGGGTCACAGAGCACCACGTATGAAAGGACCCCGTCCGCGCACGACCGTAAACGCACGCACCCACATGCTGACGTACGGACCCGTACGCACGCCGCGGGGATGGGGTCTGCACTACCGCCAAAGTGGATGCAGGAGACCGTCTCCTGCAGCTTTTACAAGAAGCGTTTCCGATTTTTACAAAAACACCAAAGCTGCTACGTTTTTAATTTAAAAAAACAACAACAACAAAATTATTTTTAGCAAGACACTTTGAAATCATTTGGCACACCTTGGCTTTCTCCCCGACGACAAATACGGATGCCGCCACCAAGGCTCGAACCCACCTCCGAGCTGCCCACTCCCAACGTCCCCTGTAACCAGGAAGGTGCTGGGGCGTGGAGACCCCTCCCCTGGACCGGGTGGAAATCCGTCCCTTCTTTCTCACATGGTCCGTCATTCTAGAAGGCTGTCTTTAAACCACTCTTCAGAAAAACGTGCGTGCCCAGGAATCAGAAGGGAGATAAATATTCAGTCACCCCAAATAAAGGCAGTGAGAGTCCCACCTGTGGATCCTGGTGTGTGGTTTTCCCTCCTCCTTCCAAGGTCACCTGCTCAGAGCCCTCAGCTCAGCGTGTTTATCGGGTGGCATCCGGAATCCCGGCATCAGGAACCTTCCTCGAGACGCCCCGAGCATCAGGTGCCCGTCGGTGCCCCAATCAGGCCTTCAACAGGGCGACCTTGTGTTCCGGAACAGAATCCTCGCTGATGTTGTAGGGCTGGGTCCCCGGTTCCTGACTCAAGTATTTCTCTGCAGAAGACACAAGGTTCGCAAGCACTAAAAAAGCTGAAGTGGGGAAGGTTCAGCTCATAGAATGGGATTTTGAGGCTGGCACTTCAGGGTCCTGGTGCACAGGGAGCTGGGGTCCCCCCAGCCGGCACCCCCAACCCCAGGCAGGCTTCCAGCTACGTCCCTGATCAGAGCCTCATTGCTTTCCACGCCCCGATAACCCTTCCTCAGTGCCGGGCGGTCCCCTGGCAGGGCCGGGCCACAGCTGTCCCTCTGTCTCCTGTGGGTCGGCCGTTTCCAGCAACAACGTGGCTGGATCTCAGACACCACGCTGAGCCAAAGAAATCGGACATGAAAAGAACCTTTGCGCTCCCCTTTACGTCAAGTTCTGCAACAGGCAAAGCTGACCTACGGTGGAAGAAATCAGAACAGCGGCTCACCCTGGCGGGGGGTCATGAAGGGGGCTGAGGAAACCTTCTGGAATGATGGAAATGTTCCATCTCCACTGCGGACACCTGGCTGTACCCACCTGTCAGAACTCGAGTTGCACACTTAAGATCTGTGCGTTCACTGAACCTATGCTGTACCTTAAATAAAGACATCCCCCCCAAATAAACCCCCAGAACAAGAGGGCCCCCCGATTCCGTGGCCTCTGCCTCACCCACTGTGCCCACGCTCCCCACTCCACCACCTGCCACCCCGATCCTGGGGGCCACGGGCACGCGCGGCTGACGCGGCTCGCTCTCAGATGACCCCGCCGTACCCACCTGCCTCTTCCAGCGTGGAGAAGTATTGTATACCCTTCAGGCCAGCGGACAGCAGGGCACGGACAATGGGAACCTGCAGGGCAGGCAGACTTTAATCCCGGGCAGGGATGCTCCTGTCTCAACACGTGGGCACGCGAGGTCTGGGGCGGGCCCGCAGGTCCAGGGCCACCGGCCAGGTCACTGCTTCCCCCAGAGCGTCCAAGTAGTTACAACTCCACCTCTACTCAGGGAAACGGAGGGAAGGAACTGGGCCTCCTGGCTACACTAGTAGAGGAGTATTTAGAAGTTGACGCTCTAAGGAGGACACAAAAACGAGCTCTCTGTAGACAGGACGAGGAACGTGACCGTTGTCAGCAGGCTTCAGAGCCAGGTGCCCGGGTCAGGGAGCAGGGGCCACCGTCCTCGCTGTGTGACTTTGGGCGGCTTACTCAGCCTCGTGGGGCCTCGGTGTCCTTGTCCTCACGTGGGGACGGGAACAACGCCGACCTCACGGGCAGGTCTGAGGGCGAAAAGGGCCGCCCGTCGCGACACCCACCTGCAGGCCGACGAAGGCGAGGGTGACGCCGTGCCTGTGGAAGTCTCCCAGGAGGTCCCCGAGCCCCAGCACCACGGTGTAGTCAATGCTGCAGACGTGGGTACAGTCCAGCACCATGCAGCGCGGGGGGGACGCTGCGGAGACAGGGGCTGGCGGGTCAGGGGCCAGAGCGAGGCCACGGAGGGCTCCGGCCCCAGCAGGGAGGGTGGGGGTGGGGTCTGCAGGACCTGTGATCACAGCCGTCTGGAGACAGCAGCAGTGACCCCCTTCAGAGGAGGAACGGGCCCCTCTTCTTCCCCGAACACCAACTCCCGGGAACAAAGGACGGTCTTTAGGAACAAACGTTGGGGAAGAGACCCTCCTGCTGTGTGCAGACGGCAGGCACCCACCGGATGCCCCCGAAACGCCCCGAGACCTCCTGGGCCTGAGTGGGTGAGCTCCCTGGCGGCTGAGGACAGGGACTCAGGGTCCCGCGGGAGCAGAGGGGGGTACAGAGAAGGTGGCAGGGAGTTGGGGGGCCCCAGCCCACGCACCTTCCAGAGTCCGACTCAGTATCGCCTCCCGGAGGGACTCGATGGCCGGGAAGTGCAGACCGCTGGCCGGCTGCAGGACCAGCACCGGCCCCTCTGACACCTGGGGACAGAGCAGGGGACAGAGCAGGGGACAGCCGGTGGGTCCTGGAGGCAAGTCCGACCTGGCAGTTCCGAGAGGGTGGCCCCTCCAGCAGGAGGCCCCAACCCAGGCCGACAGAACAGAGCGGGGGGAAGCACAGCTGACGGGCCCTCACGCCTACCCGCAGCCTCACGTGCAGCAGGAGAGCTCTGTGGTCCACGGCAGGAGGCTGACACCCGTCCACTGTGTGAACGGTCACTGGGTGGTGCCACGGGCCAGAGTCGCACCGAGGAGGCGTGCGACAGTTGAGCCAAGGGGTACCGCCCAGGGCACGCGTCACCCCACCAGGCCCCCTGAGGCCAGCAGACCCCTGGCTCGGGGAGATCAGATGGGCCGGTACCTGCATCTTGGGTCTGGCCACAGAGTGCAGGAGGATCAGAGCGGACACCAGGGTCCCGGCCAGGATGCCGTACTGGACCTCCCAGAAGCAGAGCAGGAATGTCACGCAGAGGGGCAGCAGGTCCAGCCCTGGAAGAGAGGAGTCCAACTGAGGGGTGGCTCCCTCAGGATAAGCTGGGCTCCAGCCAGCCCGAGCCCCAGAGAGACCTCCGTCTGGGGCCCCAGGGGCTGACGTGGGCCACGGCCACGCTGGCCGAGACGTGTCAGGGGCAAGACGTGTCTGGCCCTCCCTGCCTGGCTGAGCGGCCACTAGGACCTGACAGCCAGGCCCAGGGCCCCTGCCCTCAGAGAGGAGGTCAACCGTGGGCACCTGTCGGGGACCTGAGGAAGGGACCTGGGGGGGTCCTTGGGCAACACGCGTGACTCCTCTGAGCCACGGGAGGAAGGGTCCTGGGGCAGGCGGGAGGGCTCGGGGGTCAGCCTAGGATTCGACTCTGACATGTGTCACTCAGGGGAGGCCCCATCCTCCCTGGGCTTCCGCGGGGGCGGAGAGCACCTGCCGGGCCCACACAGGCACCCACGCGTCTCAGGGCCGTCCCAAAGAGGGCGGCAGCGACACAGCAGGGAGCTGGCATGTGTGGCACGTGAAGAAATCACCGATGCCTCTCGGGGGCAGACGGGAGGAACCAGGGAAGCCCCGTAAATCCCTCCACTGCTTCAGCCAGTGAAACAAACACGTGAACGGGAGTTCCGTCAAAGGCACTGCAGGCTCCAGGGAGTCCCGAGAGGAGTCAGGCCGCTGGGGTGACCCTGAGGCCTCTCATCTCTCCCCAGCCAGGCCAGGCTTGAGGCTGGGAAAGGGGGGGAGGAGAAGGAGGTG